TACTTTGAACGCTGGGCTTCCTGATAACTATCAGGTTCTGACTCAACATTCTAAACCAGTTCTTTCGGCAATTCCGTCTCATCACCTGCTCTCTGCTCCGACATCAGTGTATACACTAACTCCGTAGCGGAGATGGGTCCTAGGCTGGCCACAAGGCCCGGAACACTCTGCTGGTTGACTGCACGAGTTTGCGCGCGAGTCCTACCTTCTCTCACTTCATCATTCTCACGCGANATCATTCTCACGCGAAGCAGTATTAAAGTCAGCAAGCTCGGCCACATGCCGCGGACGACGAGCGGCTGGAGGGGGTGCCTCCGCCTCTACCGGTCCTACCGACCCAATCGACTCTTCATCATCATGCCCTCCCTGTTCCATCGATTCTTCCTCATCATTCCCCCGGATCCCCCATCTCTAGTTCCCCTGATTCCTGCCCTCCCTGGCCTTCCCCGTCATTCACAGGCATTGGAGAAGACACAGAGGCTACACTATCAAAAGAATTGTTCGCGAGGGACGACGGTTCAGCAGGGGAAAATGGAACAGAAAATGATGGGCCTACACTTCCTGCGCCAACACTCTCAACCTCCTCGACTCTCGCACCATAAGGCNTCCTACAAGCGGCCATACCTCGGTTTCAACATTGTCGTCACTATCCTCCCCTCCCTCCTCTGCGACCTCTATTGGCAGAGAAGGTTGCAGCGGAGGGAGCTGTGACTGCAACACCTCCCACGTCACAATTTCTCGTTTCCTGTATAGTCCCAGCCCTCGGATGTACTCTATGACAATCACGCGGGTGGTCTCTCGAAGGACCGACATAAAAGCAACTCTCACCCTTCGGCAGCAGCTTTGAAGGTCGCTGCCACCTGCAGTACGCTGGCTTCGAAAACGGATACGGTCTAGCGGGACGAGGTTCACCATACCACATTTCATACGGCGACATAGAGTCGGGGTTAGCAGAGCACGCAGTGTGATTCATCGCTTCGCAAGCCCAGTGCATAGCCTCAGCCCAGAGTTTNAAGGTCGCTGCCACCTGCAGTACGCTGGCTTCGAAAACGGATACGGTCTAGCGGGACGAGGTTCACCATACCACATTTCATACGGCGACATAGAGTCGGGGTTAGCAGAGCACGCAGTGTGATTCATCGCTTCGCAAGCCCAGTGCATAGCCTCAGCCCAGAGTTTATCAGTCTTAGGTAACTGCACATGCCCAAAAAGAACTTTAGCCTGAATACGAGCCGCCATCGCGGCCTCTTCTATCAATCCCAGCCCACGCTCTGCAACACCATTATATTGCGGACTATAAGCCGGTGTGAACTCTTGTTTGATCAAGAGCTCATTGCACACAGATGCAAAATCCCCCCCGAAAAACTTCCCTCCGTTGTCAGATCTAACAATCTCAACGAATGACGGGACACCATTAGCACGCACACTCGCAAGAAAAGTCCGGAATGCACTGCCGGCGTCTGATTTATTTCTCAGGAAATACATCCATGTATGTCTCGTGAAATCATCCTTCACAATTATGGGGTAATGTTTACCCCCTACGGACGCAATGTCCTTCCTCCCTCCCAGGTCAGCAAAAACTCTGCCCAACTTTTTATCCGATCTACGTTTAGTTTCTCTAACGATCCCTTTTCGAATAGCCTTTGACATCGAACACCCTGAACAAGCATGCATGTCACCAACCAACTTGGTACCTAGTCGCTTTGCAGTAGTGCGAAGCAAACCCTCGTGCGAATGAGCGTAAATGTTGTGGAACTCGTTGATATCCATCGTGGTTTCATGCTTGGGGTTTGCGGGAGTGAGAGCAGCCAACACCGTGCCAACAGAGGCTTCTCCTAGACGATACGCAGACGCAATCAGCATGCCATCGAAGTTCTGAAAGGTTACTTGTCCATTGAAAGCAGTCATCACACCATCAGGACCACCAAGACCATTCCATGACTCGTCATCAAACTCTGCACTCGGAGAAAAGAGATAATACCCTAAACTTGGAGAGTACAACACATTCATTCTTCAACTCCACGGAAAATTCACTGTCAGCAGTCACAAACACCAACTCCAGCGTTCCAGAGAA